TTTGAAAATTAATTAATGTTTATTCCAGCATAAGTTATCGAAATGACTTGGCTTTGCACAATACCCAGCTTCTTCGCCAGTATTGCAAATGGGATGAAGAGAGGCTGCCAACGCTGGGTGTTTGGATTAAAACGGTGGATATTATATTTACATATCAGAATTTGGCAAATCTTGTATCAACGTATGTCTGTCAGTGGGCCAAGCGGTGTGGAGTTGGAGATGCGTCTAAGGGCTCCCTGTCATCGTATGCTTGGATATTGATGCTGATTCATTACCTACAGAGAACCGAACCAGTGAGGATGCTGCCATTTCTGCAGTTTGTGAGTTTCATCTTTTCTAAATAAGCTATATTGATGCGTTCCAGCCAAGGCTTAATTGAAAATTGAGTATCATCGCCAAAAACAGTAATGAGAACTGCTATATGTTAACCGCTTCCCCATATAATAAAACGTAATGCTATATGTCCATTTAGCAGCTGGCTCGTCAAAAGTTTGTTTACTCATTTTTCATCTTGATTAATTATGCTTCTAGGGTATGAATAATCCATCGGAGGAAAAATATGTCAATGGTTGGAATGTAGATTTCTGGAAGTTTGTGGATGTAGGTTGTCAATTCCCATTTTAATATCTCCTAATGCAAAGAATATCAGCGTTCCTAGGTGGGCCAATCGCAACGCATCGGAATCAGTACGTACGAGTTATTTGTTGGATTCTTAGACTACTTTTCAGCGCACTTCCAGTTTGACAAACATGTGAGTCCTGAGTTTTTTTCAATGCAAATGAAATGTTATGTGTGATGATGTGTTAATGTCTATCTCCATTCATTGTAAAGTAATATTTTTTGAAACAAAGTATCAAATCACAACTTGTGGTTGCTTTTGTATATGTGGAAAAATTTCAATGCCGTGTACACTCACTAAATGGGCGCAAAGAGCTAATCCTTTTCTTTGTTTCAAAAAGTTAGCGATTTTGTAGATGGTTCAAATCAATACACCTGGGAATGTTGTGAAGATGGGAAGATGGTATCGCTGTCCACTTGTTATCAGAGATCCCTTCGAATTGGACCATAATCTTGCTCAGGGAGTAGATGAGGAGAGTGAGTAATAAAATATGTTGTTTTCCCAATTCTCATTCATTGTGATTGCTCATTGAGTCATGCTGTGGAATCCTTGATTAATTTCTCAGTTTAAGTGTTCCGTTACATTCGATCGTGTATGAAACATTCTCGTCAAGTATTCATGGATCAGAACTTACGTGCAGAATTCCTCGTTTCAAAAGGATTTCGTAGAGGAATGCTCGACAAAGTTCGTATGAACGACGATCTTCTGCGAGAATACGGAGTAAGTCTTTTACAGCTTTCTATAATCAAACTGTAAAGATTCCTCTTTCTCAAAGATGGAAGCTTAAAGAATTTTGGA